CGCTATGGTTACAAAATCGCTTCCATTCCTTTCCGCCCCTATGTAAATTGAGCCATAGTATAGGTACCTACTTGACTTGCGTAATAACAACAAAGTACCTAAGTGAGTCTGTTGTCCTGACCTTCATGTAATGATGAAAGCGGTAAAGGTCCGACCCTTCCAAGGTGAACTCCTCCCTAAGGAGTGCCACGTGTAATCACCTCCGTGACTTTACATGTGTTGTTTCAAACGTTGTTTTTACTTTTATAATGAGACGATGAAGCGGCACGTGTTCAACAATAATTCTACAATTTAATTTATTTATTGAAACGCATGTTAGGTATTCGTTTGAGAATTACTCGTATAAAATATGATAACTTGAAAAACAAAGATTCGTGCAGATGTAATGAAAACGTGTTTGTGTGAAATCTTCTTAAGTCAACGTATAGGCACTTAGTGGGGAATATTATCGCAAGTGCGAGGGTGAATCGTCATTAGAGGGCATTAGTGAATGGCTATACTTAATGTCACATATTATATTTAACAATTACTTACTGTAATTTTTCTTTTCCATCCTTTCTTTTTTGAATTTCTTTACAATTACCATGTGATTTTAATTTAATCTCAATTTTTTTTAACCAAAAATTCAACCTATGTTATCGTAGTTTAAAAGAACTTTTATTTGTTTGTTTTTGTTTCTCTTTGCCTTATTATTTTTAAAAGCATTTAATTTTTTTATTTAATGTAATTATTACCACTTTTTTTCTATACCGAAACATCAGGAGATTTTCAAAATGGTATATACATTTATTTCGATAAATATACAAATATATTTTAGAGTATATATTTTTTTAATGATACCAAGTGACGGGACAAACAAGTCGTGCGCCTGATGGTAAGCGACACGCCTGTCCATAACAGTTGCAGTGACACTTAGAGCTTTAAAACACAAATATCTGAGAAGCATTATGTGCCTGTAATTTCATCAGTACCCTTATTACCCTTCAAAACCGGAACGCATTACTGCTCCCATTAGTACTTGGCGGCAGAAATGGAAGGTGGTAGTACTTCCCTGGACGAACTCTCACAAGGAGCTCTACATATACGATGACAAAGTCGCGGGCAGCAGCTAGCTACTTCGTCTGCGCAGAACAAGTACTTCGAGTCTCGAGCCTACTGTACTACTCATCAATATAATGTTTAAACCATTTATAGAATACTGTACTTCTTGGAGAACTTGTTGGTTCTCTATATAAACTTTCATAACCTTAAGGATTTATTTTTGTGACACAAAGTAGCCTATGTCCTTCTTCTAGGTCTCATTTATATATACCAAAATCCATTAAATTTGACTCAGCGGTTTAGGCGCGAAAACGTAATAAACAGAGTTACTTTCGCATTTATAATATTAGTTTGGATGTGGTTGTAACAAAAGTTGAACTATTATTTGTTTTAGCAATTACATAGACAGAGGATACAGAGCTTTGCTCTTGATTGTACCTTGATTCTAGATTTAGGTAAACCTTAGTCAGAAAAAACGAAAAAGGTCTTAGATAGACATAATAATTAATAGTAATGGAGCACATTTGTCTTTGGAGCATAATAGCATAAATGGAGGGAGAAAGTGCAATTATCTACTAGATTCGAAGTGGACAATAGATAAACCACCCGACATGATGTTGGCAACAAAGAACGCAGACAAAAGTTAATTTGGGGATCTAAATATAGTTCGTCTCGGCGACAATCCTATGCGTATTCACTTGCTATAAACCAATAAATAATATACATATAATGGCACTGTAGGTATATGTGTCATTTACCTACCTACAACGAATGTGAATGGCATTGAATTCTGAAGAGTTTAATGACATCCTAATACGTAACACGTTCAAATGTATATGTTTATTCAACATTTGCAAACGCAACAAAGTATTCATTAATTTTTTTATTTCATTTCCTAAAATAACATTGTATTAATCATTTTGGCAAAGTCTGTGTTTAAATACGCTGTTATCATTAATAAAGCTTTTCGCAGTAGACGTAAATTGAGTGATATCATTCTCATGGTAGAGCATATTAAGTTTTCATCGTAATTTAAAAATTTTTTGTACACTTTGTTCACGATGATTTATCAATGATTCACACTCATGAAGCACTTACTTAAAGACGTCATATTTATAATGCCTACTTCTTCAATGACCAATGATAATGTCTCATCCATTCACGTCATTCATCACGCGTTAATCCACGTAGATCTAAATCCAAGAGATTACCGTATGTTTATTTCCTTGATAATGTGTTCACGAAAGTCAAGTTTTCACCACCTCACTTGTTATAATCGCAATAAGCAAGCAAAGACACAATAGTTTTTACGGCACTATTTACAGTTACGTCAACCCGTCAAAGCTAATAAAATGTTTACTATTGTCTTTATAGTTTCAAGGAGATATCGCAAATAAAAGATCGCCTCGTCGACAGAAGAATTATGACATAGAAACTTTAACTGTCTGAAGATTGTAAAGATTTACTATAGTTACCAAAACTATGGAAGTTAACAACACGCTTCGGGTAAGCCCGTGGTGCACACGAGAGCACGAAGTGCCAAAAATAATTCACCGCATGCACCTTGCGAAATAGTCTGTATACATCCAAAACGTATTCAAATTAAATTTTCGCTTTTATGGCTTCTATAATAGTGGGATTCATAGGCAATTTCCTTGAAAAGAACGCAATTTGTTCGGTTTATTGTTCGTTTCACGTGGTGTACCTACTGTATAGGCGCGAAAAATAGGTGTTAACATTTCCTTGACCGTGAAATACTTTGAACCTTCCAACAAAATGAACAACACTAATCAATTAGGAGACAGTTGATCTCGATAAGCAAAACGAAATAGTTGTTATGTTAAGACATAACAAAGTTTTGGAATCATAAACATGACATTAACGAATCAAAACTTTTAATTAGCTCATTTTATATTTTATTCCATCTTTTGGATGACTTTGTAATATTATTTTCAACAATTTTATTAAGGATTTCCCATTAAGATTAGATAGCGTAATAACAATAATAATGTGCCCGACAACAACACCAATTGCCTGTACTATACTGCCCTCCTTATCATAACAAACGTAATCGACACTTTTAACGAAATTGAGTTAATAACATATCGGGATTTAGCGGAACGACATCTACAACCCTTTCTAATCTGGGGGCCTACTCCCGTTCTCCGTCCAACATCCGTCAGTAACAATTACGCGACTATCACACTGCACCGCGTCTCGCGACGGAGCGCGGAGCTGCGTTTTTTAACGTTGTATTGAAGTACCTCAGTTTGTATGGAATACACGTGCCGCCGAACGCACTGACAACGCGCCGGGCCGTTAGACCGCTGCCCCCGCGCAGATTAAACCGCGCGTTGACGCAGATCTGCGTCTGTTGACGGTGCGCGTGATTCCGCGTCCCGCGCACCGGTGAAATACGCACGGTTGAGTGAACTGTGATCATGGGACCTGTAAAGGACCCGAAACGTCGGTTTGTTCCAAAAAACAAATATACGCGATTTAAATCCGGAAAAATAGTTTCATTTCCAATGTGTAACAATCGCGAAAACCTAAGAACTTAATTTAACTTGTTGAGATTATTTCTAATTTTAGCGTAACGTATATAGACGGTCACATTTTGACTTTCTTAATTATTTGATTTATTTTTAAGCGTTAGATTTATTAGCCGTAAAAATAATAATATAATAAATACTGAGAATGAGTAAATATAATCATAATAAAAAATTATAAAACACGTGGGAAATATGTGCATGACCTTTGCTCTCCCGAAATTTTTTACTTTGATTTTTGGGGATTTTGAATAATTAGCATTGGCAACGCTGCAAATCGGAGGGAAGAATCGAAAGTGTATTTCTGACTCGGATGTCCGATCCGACTATCGGATGGAAAAATCGGAGGTGTGTTGCCGTCAGTTATTTATTTGACAGTAATTGTTTCGGCCGAATGTCGGACGGAGAACGAGAGTAGACCCCCAATTGTTTTAAATATTATTTAGTTTCAGTTTTATAGGTAAGCAAAATTAGCACAAAATCAACTTTAGGTGCCAATATCTAGAGAGAATTAAAAAATGCATTACAGTCCATTTCAATAGGGATGAGTTCTGTGACACTTCTAATTGTTACGTTACACGCATACGATATAATCTACGAATAATGTGTCAACCCGGTGACAAAAACAAATAGTAAATTTCTTATAATGTACCAAAATCAAATAATATTTGTTGTAGATGTCATTTTAAGTAAAAGTTGTGGTATATTATGTAGATAGAAAATGAAATAATAAATATAAAAATAAATTACTCCAACTGCTTGACGCGTAAAACGGATTATTTATCCATAGAGATTTACACCATAGAATCGATAAATCGAATCGTCTTTTGTTTAACTCGCGTCAGTTCGAGGCATTTACATACCTTGTTAGCGGGTTTTATTTTGTTTTTAGCTTAGCGTGATCTTTTTGGAGTAATTGTTCAAATTCCGTTCCTAAGCTGCAGATTTTATGCTTTATTGTTGACTTTTTGTATGGTTTTGTAGTTTTTAGGTATTTTGTTCATACATTACCCTAATTACTTAATGTGTAAAACGAAACATTTATCCATAGATATTTACACTATTACTTTGTTCATTAGCTGTTCTTAAATTATTTTCTGTAAATCGATTTCCTCTTCGTTACAAATTATCTCGATAAAATATTTGAATCGATTTTTTTTCTTACGATTTTACATAACTGCATCTCTATAAACTTCAAGTTTCCAACGTCACAGAAAATTCCTTATTGAAACGGACTATAGTTATAACAAAGAAGGTAGTATGAGTACTAGAACAACGGAATTCATTCCGGTGCATTACCTAGAATATAACACCTAGACTTGAACCAATTTAGAAAAACATACTTTCTCCCAAAGGTACTATTGGAAAACGAACTCCAGTCCTTCCCATCCTGCGCTCACACTATGTACAACCCGTTGGAACACGATCAACATTGACAAAGGTTTATTAAAAAAATAATTAGAAAAAGTACTTATTATTAGTACAAAGATCGAACACTCAGAAAAAATTCCTTCGATCCGGCCGGATTCTAGCATACCGTGCCAGACGCTATACCAACTAAGTACCTACGTATGTTAGATTCAGCTCATACAATAGTGCGCCTATAAATATTTTAGGGGGTCTACGGTTTATGACGCGCACAGCCTTCGAGGATATCGTTTTCTTTCGCGCTATTCCTGTAACTGCGTCGAAATAAGTATACGTTACGCTAAGTTTCTTTCTTTGCTGAATTTGACACGGCATTGTAGTATTACTATGCGGCAAGCAACACAAAGTCGTGAAATTAAAATTATTACTAAATATTCCTAATTTTGTTATGTGATTTCCTCCGAATGAACGATAGGGTTCCTTGTAACAGAGTGATGGAAGATTAGGTATTTATTTCGAAGCAATTTAATTTATCGAAAGGAATAATTTACTAAATTTATGATATTTGTATTACTTCACGTTTTATTGACTTTCAAAAAGCATGATTATGGTTATATAGTTAGAAAATTGGACTGCTGAACTTACGTAAATACGGCGGGCGTAAAATTCTTTGTTGAAAATTGTACCTTACGACATTCACACGTCGTGTAATTTAAAAAGCGACGATTTATGTCGTTTAACCCGTGACTGAGTATATTTAAAAATTTCATACAAACTTGTGAAAAAATGTTCTTGAATAAAATTTTTAGTAAATGGGAATTGTGATCGCTTCTACATAGCTCGTTGACCCAGTGGCCGAGTTCGTGACAACTCGTTGCCGGTCGTTGCTCGCCCGCAGTCTGTGCTGCGGTTTACAAGCGTTTTGTCCAACTCGTTGTGCTTCACTCAACACACAATCTGTGAAATCATGAATTCATGAATGCAGTTGGGTTTCACTTTTCAAAATATATCTGCAATATATAATATATCAATTACTTGTATACAAAACCTGTTCTAGCATTTGACTTAAAAAATGAACCCTACAACATCAAATGTGACATATATTTAAATAAAAATCGACCTCAAATGTCATTGATCCCCTAGTTTGCCACCCTTAGAGGTGGAATATTTTCTTCAAATTTAAATGGGACCACATCTGAGGTACCCACTTTCCAATAAAACAAGAATCATCAAAATTGGTTTACAAATTTATCGCGTAACATACATGCAAAAACAGCATACAATCGAATTGAGAACCTCCTCCTTTTTTTGAAGTCCGTGAAAGCGTGTCACGAGCTAATAATCGTTGTAAACATGTGCCATCAAATGGCAACTAGACTTGCAAGCCGACTTATAGATCCCCAGTTTTCTTTAAATCTTATTTAGTTTCAGTTTTATTGGTAAGCAAACCTGTGTACTTGCTCATAAAATGGTATATTGTTTTCGTGGAGAGTCTGTTGATTTGTTTTGATTTTTGGCTTAGTGTCGCGACAGCGCCAACGTCGCCGCCCCCTACCTCCGCTTATCGTGCTCAATCATCCTTCTCGCCAGTAAATTTGGCAAATCACCGACATTCAGTTAGCATTTCATAATGGAAAATTTTCGGCTATTCCATAATAAGACGAACTACTCTTTTAGAATTAATCCTGTCATTTCATCAATATTTATAATTTAGCAAACGTGCATACATACATTGTCTAGCAACCTTAGAGTTAGATGATACGTCATACCTATATACCTACGTGATTGCGTGTGAATCGCATTCAATCCAACAAACAATAATTCTTGTACCGTCTGTTATCAGCTCGCCATGAATCCTACATTTTATATCTTTCGAAATAAAACATAGACACATGCTGCGCTATAGCCGGGTTATTTTATGGGCAGCCCAAGTTTACAAATTATGCGCTTTAATCTAAACAACAATCTTGCCTATCAAAACTTTAAACACTGTTTTAACGTTCCTGTGTAATACGATTTCTCTACACTTTTTGTAGTTATTAATTAATGAAGGTACGGGACGTATGCCCATAAGCTACTGCGACACAGACGAAAATATAGCTGGCATTCACAATACCAGCCAAGTAGTTTGAAACTGTAATTAGTTTTATTAAATTTCTACGTTTCTACCAAAATAATGTCGTAAATATCTTATCTTAAGGCACCAGCAGAGGTTCGGCCTCCAAGAACGGGTCAGGTCGGTCCGGAAGCGCTCGGTGCGTCGCAACTGCCGCCACGTCCACCGCTCACCAGAGTCGATTCAAGATCTGCCTTCCCGCCACAACTTCAGAGGCCTAACCTCCCGCCTCAAACTCAACAGAGGCCTCAATTTCAGCCAGGAGGCCCAGTCACCAGCCCCCCACAATTCGTACCTCGTCCAGGAACACCGGCGCCTAGGGGCCCAGTGCTGTCAGGTCCACCAGGCGCACAACCAAGACCACAAACACCAAACCTTCGTCCTGTCGGACCTCAATCTTTTGCACCACAACAAGGACCTAGGCCACTCCAGTCACCTACGTCAGGCCAACCACCACAAAGAGTTCCTCCACCAAACAATCTTCAGTTCGGACCGAGACAGCCTCCACAATTTGGTGGTACAACCACTCCTGATGGTGCTAGGCCGCAATTAATACAGCAAGCTAACGGAGCACCTAGAAACGGAGGACCACAAAGTCCGGTACTAACAAGTGGACAAATCCCACGACAGCCGTCACAAGGCTCTTTACGAGGTTTGGATTCTAACAATTCATACCAAAATAAACCAGTCAACCTGGAGAATCAAAGCGCACATAATACCTACCAAAATGCCGCTAAGCCGGAAAATGGCGGTGACTTGGCAGCCATGGCTAAAACCAGAAGTTATAGTATCGCAGCAGCTCCAGGAGCAATCAGTCCACTTAAAGTGGAAGATGATAGGCGAAAATCTGTCAGTGGGATCGGAAGCAGAGTTGATGAATTTGCCAATCGCTCCCCGGGTCTTGGTTTGATTCAAGAAGGAAAAGTTGAGAGCAAAGAAAATATGCGTAGCTCTAAAGAAAGTGTCAGATCAGAAGCGTCAAACGATGGAAATAGGGATTTATCAGAACGACCAGAGTCACGTTTATCTGGATCTAGAATGACAGAGTCACTTATTGGTTCTTTGGGCGATACCACCCCAAAAAAAAAGTTTGATGATAATGACGATGTGGTGCTTCAAAGTAACATAACATCAGGTAGAACTGAAACAGCAGGTATTCCAAATCCAAAGAATTCGTTAGATCGTTCACCATCTTTGACCCGTAGCGACGATTCTCCAGAACTTAAACAAAACATTACTCCAAACATAGGGCTATTAAATAAACCACAAAATACTATCCCAGAACCACAACAGCCGAAAACTCCTAAGGCTGAGATGAAGCAAGAGATAAAACCAGAGTTAAAACCAGTTCCTCAGAAAACCCCCATGCAAGAACCGAAACCTCATCAAGTACAGAAAAAACCTAATGAGTTGAACACGTCCGGAATTTCCGCTGATATAAAGAAATCAACTCCACGCAAATCTGCATCTGCACCTAAATCACGTAATAAAGGTATAATTCCACTATACAAGATGAGCCAAATTATAAAATCGCACTTTAATTATATTCAATATTTTTATTCGTATCAATTAATTGTTATGTTTTCTTGCAGATGGTGACAACGATAGTGGCGTTGATGAGTCTACGCAAGGAAATGTGAGTATTAAATAAATGAACACATTATCTTGATAATGTAACATTATCAAGCTAATTGTTATAGTATAAAATTGCTATAGGTACAGAAAAACGTATGAATGTATTGAAATTTGCTAATCTCACTATCACTGGTGAAAACTTTGACAGGATCTCAACGGCTCTCCCGGTTCACCCAATAAGAAAATCCCGAGTAAACTACCTACTAAGGAAAAGTCGAGCAACAGCCTTAGACAAAATCTGTCAAGGTCTTCAAGCAAAAGCGCTGCTGCTAAAACTCCAGACACACCACCTCCAGCCGAAAAGAAGAGTTAGTAGTAAACTTAATAGTATCTTTAATTAGTATCTCTCTTGATATTAACATATTATCTGTACCAAATAACCGAGTGAACGACGTCACGTTGCGGTTGCCACAGAGTATTGAATTAGAGTAACGAAGTTACTCAACCAAGAAATTAGCTTTTTGAATTGAAATATTTATGAGATTCGATTTATGTGTACCTAACGTCGTGGAGGTTGTAAAAATATTTCGATCGATTTTACTCGAAATATTCCAAATGTGTTATTAGTATTCAAATGTCAAAGAACTTAATGTCAGGGTCGATAAATTGTGGGTATGTAACTACCAACAAATGTATTTTATTTTGAACCGCATTTAATGAATTATTGGTTTGCAGAAGTGCCCATGAACAAAATTCAAGTAGGCAATGCTCCATCACCTAACATAAAAGCTGTTAAGTCAAAGATCGGCTCCTTGGAGAACGCTACGTACAAACCGGGTGGTGGTAAAGTTAAGATTGAAAACAAGAAAATCGAGTTTGGAAATGTTACTCCGAGAATTGCAGCCAAGAATAATACTTATGTGCCTGGTGGCGGTTCAAAGAAGGTATGATAGTTTAGTAAAGTAAAATACATACGTAACTTAAACGGATTTCGTTTATAGACTAAACTTACTGGTAATTATTTTCAGATTCTTTCAACAAAATTGGAATGGAACGCCAAATCAAAAATAGGATCTCTGGAAAATGCTACGTACAAACCAGGTGGTGGTGACAAGAAGATAGAAACAGTGAAACTGGACTTCAAAGACAAAGCGAAGCCAAAGGTTGCTTCTACAGCGAACATCACTCATAAGGCGGGTGGCGGAAACGTCAAGGTAAGTTGATCATATTTCGTTTGAAAGAAAAATATAACTTGATGAAATATGTGAGTATTTGACAAGCAGTATAGATTAGAAAATGACAGCACAATTAGGTAGATATAGTGCTTCAAGAGATATCGATCATCTTTTACAAGTAAAGAACACAATTCACACAAAATAAGCTTTCCGCATTGTAAAGAGAGTAAAGTTGAGGCTGTATGATTTGTAGGTGTTTTGATAAATAACGATGTTTATTCTTCAGTCAACAGTTGCAAAGAACGGATCACGAGCTGTGAGTAAAATGTAGACCATGTTTTCTTAAAATGTGCAGCTTAATGTTCCTGTGAATGTGATATATACCCAACACATCACCATGTGCACTTTATATTTTACGGAGTCTACTATAACAAAGGAACACCTTTTAATCGTTCCGTATTTTTGTAATTTTCCCTAGACACCCAGGGATGCGGAAGTATGTAAAAGAAGATTTATTAATTTTAAGAGTACATATCCGTTGTTGTTTTTAGTTTGTAAAATGGGCGTTGCCAAGGTGGAGGGCATCGCATAAACGATTTGCCTTTCATTCTTTGTGGAGTAAGGTCAGTGTGGTGCACTATCGTGATCGGCGACGATAGTGTAGTTCTCAAGTTATCTGTGTTGTGGCAAGGTATTGAAATGACTAGAATAAACGTTACAGGCTGCCTTCTTCACGCTATCGAATGTCTGCAGTTAATTAAACTCGTGATAAACCTAGGAATTTTAAACTAAACAAATAGGTGTATGCAATTTAAAACTACACAACTTAATGCAACTTTTAAACTTTGCTTGAAACAAATTCATTTTGAATGTGTTTTCTACACGGAATGTTTGATAGAGATCGCTGCTAAAAAGGAATAAAACGAACTTAGAATATCGACACCACGTCCTGAAAAACCACATGACTCACATATCTATACATATATATACTTACCTTACGTATTATTATGATGTACGTGCACGCTATGAAAATCAATACTGTTTATGTGTGCTGAGTTATTATAAGTCGATATGAGATATATTGCTGATGCAAAAGTCCATCAAGAGTGGTCATTCTCATTCACAAATGCTTTGCGTCGTTTATATTTTTTATTGGAATATACATCGCGTCTAAATGTTGGGTTTCCGGAAATTTTGTTTAATTACACAAAATAAAAATTCATGCACATGTAATATATTCTACATTTTTTTAGGAAACCTATCAACTTATTGTTATTGTTTGCTATGCACACTGACTTTTCCACCGACTGTTTGGAACAGATTGAAAATCAAAAATTGGAATTCAAAGCATCAAGCAAAGTCGGATCTTTGGACAATGTAAAGTACAAACCGGGAGGTGGTGATATCAAAATTTTCGACGACAAAGAATACATTAAGCAGATTGGAGCACAGTCGCCCGCGCCTAGCAGCCATACGCAATCGCGACAGGAGGTGAGGCCTGATTAACAAAATGTGTTGGGCCTTTCTGTTCCATTTGTTTTGACTTTGTTTTTGCTTTTCTTCTCACGGTGAAGGTCTTCATTCTCAAACCTTTTATCGTCACTACATCGTCGTTTAACATTATACATTTTTTGTTTCAGCCTGAATATTTGTACACATATTATTGATAACTTTTAACGCCATAAGGTACCTACTTAATAGGTTTGAAATAGTGTTACTAACAGTTCGATTGTTTGGTTCATTTGTCATTTGTTTGGTTTTCTGTTGCTATTTTAACATTTTCGTTTTCTTCGCCTGTGTCTTCGTTTGTGTTATCTTTCTATTTATTGAATTTGAATTCAGTGGTATGTATGCTGTGTTTTCTTTTACCCAGAGTCCATTGCCACCGGTGACGCTGCCTCCGAGATCGGACGAAAATCTGAATCAACAGCAGTGTTAAGAACATTCTGGAGACTTCAGAGTCGATCAATTCTAACCAAGAGTCCAAACATTTGTATATTTTTTATATTTGTTGACATAGTATATTTGATATGGTTTATTCTACCCTGTTTGAGTGATTTAGATGCGTTTGTTTTTAACTAAACGATTGTTAGTGATTTTGGTAACATTAGTGTCAATAATTTATGGCATATCCTTCTAGACCAATAATCTATCGATGCGGTTAGGTACATGCGAGTTTTTGTAGACGGTGCAAGTTTGACTTCATTGATAAAATTGATATTGTTTTGTTAATTACCGTACGTAGGTAAATTTTCGTAAGTGCCAATAGGAATTAGTATCTTAGGATACCCTTTGCTTTTTATGTCATTACTGTAACACGTTTCAATGTTCTTTGTCTGTACTGTAATATATTTTACGTCTTAGCAAAGTACGTTGTCTATTACACATCATTGTTATACCTATCTATTTATTTTATTATTACTTACAGTAAATTCACCATTACCCATTAAAAGTACCTATCAATAGATGCACTACGTAATCTAGAGATACATTATATTAATTTGATTGAGTGTACTCAGACTACAATACTTAAAATAAATATAGTATGTATTTTGTATATACTTATATTATTTACCTAGTGTATCTCGTAAATAGATCAATACTGTTTATCACTTTTTTGTTACGTTCAATGTATTTGTAGTTGTATGCACTTGCCGTATAAGCTAAGCTGTATCTACGAGTATAAGTATAATTTGGAGTGCTTTAATGTATTGGGCAGTTCTTGACACAGCACCAGGTCTGAATAAAATTTGTGATAATATTAACATTTAGACTTTTACAGCTAGTTTAGCTTTCTCTTAACGTCTATAGACTACGCTTTCTGTTTTACAAACAATTAATTGTATTTGATAACACTTTTTAATATTTTATAAAAGTGCTGTGACGAGAATATTGCGGGCTCGAGAATGACTGACCAGATTTTTATTATTAGAAATATACCTACATGTTTTAATGTAACTATGATAATATGATTAGATCTAGATAGCGCGTATTAATTCAATGTTAAATGCTTTGTGTCACAAGGTTTACTTTGCATTTTTTCGAACCACTTTAATAATTTAAAGCGTTATAATTTTTATTTAATTTCTTTTATATACTTACCATTGTTTAGTTTTTGTTTTACCATTAGTAATACGCCTGTATTTACGCATCTCACTGGGATATTTAATAAAATTTTTCAGCCATATACCTACTGGTTATTGTAGACTTCGATAAGTAAGTACTTTTAGTATTTTGTGAAATCAACCGACATACAATGTAATTGGAGAATTCTTTAATACAATTTAACACGAGTGATTTTGTTTAATTTATAACTGTAAATTTATACCTTAATATAAATGCATTAGACTTTTATTCACAGATTACACAATAAATAAGTATTTATGTAGTAGAAAGTTGTATTCAATAGAGTTGGCCATCACTTTGCACTAGCACCCATGTGTGGAGAATCTCGGTAAGTTGCTTATCATTGTATTGTTTTAGGAAAATGCTTTTTGTTTTGTAAAAAATAAACCAAAATTGGTGGCTACACAGTGACCTGAGTGAGAGTTAAATACTTTATATATTTAAAATGTATTCGCGTTTGTTAATATTACTCCAAAATTTAAAGAGTATATCGTCAGTGTATAATGGACTTTGTTGGGAAATATTAAGGAGAGTTAGAAGAATTGCTTTATTATTTAGTAGGTGGTATTATTTAGTATTTTATGTATATATATATATATATACATACATATATATATATATATATTTGACCCATATGTCGCCGGTTTTCCCATTTGTCGTCGGTACAAATCACCACTGGCAACAACTGAGATTTTTTATCCCGTTTGGCACCACCTGGTAACATACGGGATTTTGTTTCCCATTTGTCTCCACTAGAAATCACCACTGGTAACAATTGACTTTTTTATCCCGTTTGTCACCACCTGGTAACATATGGGATTTTTTTTCCCATTTATCGCCACTGGAAATCACCACTGGTAACAACTGAACCTTTTTTATCCCGTTTGTCACCACCTGGCAACATATGGGATTTTTTTTCCCAGTTGTCGCCAGTGGGAACAAAGCCAGTGGTGACAACTGGGAATAAGCGACTTTAGCTACTTACTTTGGGTTCAGAGCAACGTATGTGATGTTGTTTAACATTTATACGTTTATATATGTATGTATGATCGGATACGAAGATCCATCCTTTTTGATATAGAATTACAGTAAAAAATTAATATGATTTTTCAAAACAGGAATATTATTCGTCGGACAACGACTGGATAGAGGAAGAGCGCCCCTTTTCACGTTGCAAGTCGGCCCGCGCCCCCCGAACTCCGCGCACCCCGCGGGCGATGTCTCCTCGCCGCAAGTCAGTCGTTCTAGATGAAGAAGAACAACGCATCTTAAGGAATAATGAGAGAAATAGACGAGCGTCAAGGCCAGCTAGCGCTCGTGAGCCTCAAAGGTCGGCTTGCTCTAGACGTGGCAGTGTGCTATCGCAACGCCCTGCTTTCACCGTATATTGATTTTAGAATGTCAAGTAGAAAAATCTATGTATTAAAACATTTGTCTACTATTTTGTACGCACTAGAACTATCTATTTGTGTCGTAGTCGTTTTTGGGACTATTGAGTATATCTGTCCATTATTGAAAATTTGAAAAGCATTTTAAATATGCACACAAATATATCTTTTATATAAAATTTCAAAGAGTGAAACAATCTCAAAAAAATATAGTAGATGTAGTAGAAGACACGAGTAGGTCTATAAAAAAATCGATATAAAAAAATTATAAAAAAAAGAGATATTTTCCACAGAGTTTGCATTTTTGCACCAATGTTATAGTGTAGCTTATAGAAATTTGAAAGTGTATTTATTTACAATACCCATGTTCAATAAACTACATATATCTACACAATGTAGACTTTGTTTTATTTATAAAATACCTGTAGAAGTATAGTAGGGGTATCTCTGACTGAAACCAAACGATAATTTTTACATTTTGTTTATTGGTGTACATGGTTATGCATTACAATAATATTTATCAATTGTTAATTCATTAAATTATGGCACTTAACGCAATTAAAATGTAAACAATACATACAATGATTGATGAATATGTCCTATGTCGAAATTAGTTTAATGATTTCGAGGTAAACTTAATGATAATTATTCGGAATTATTTCTCAGTCGTTCGTTGACGTTTCGCATCATAACGAAAGCCTCTTTTTTATTTTTTTAACATTTAGTTTTTTTTCTTAAGAAAATAATTTTTTTCAATTAAAAAATTCAACTCATTGATCCCGATCGTAAAATATAAATAAAAAAAAATCTTACAGGCAATTTTGTAAAATAACTTAACCGTTTGTACCGTTAAGGATAACTCACTGTCTCATACCTACTCAACTTTATCTTACGAACGCGCAGGAGTAATGTCATTTTATAAAAGTTCAACATCATCCGATAATATAAACTGTTGATAAAAACTTACGACTAACAAACTCCTCTAAGTTTAAAGGGATACACGCTAATTGCAAGCGAATACGTGAAGCATTCCGGAGCGTCATTTAATTGTTTGGTATAAGGCATGTTGTTTTATTTTTAAACTGCTCACTAGGAATATATTTTGTGGAAGCGTAGCTAACGCTATCTTGAAATAGAGACGAATACTCCGCTGGATGCAACAAGCGCACACACACGACACAGTAACACTATTATAACTTTAATAACATACAAAAGGCCACATCACATCATTCAGTCACGAAGCGCGATTCATACACGGTTATGAATGTCTAAAGTTTAAATTACAAACGCAAAATTTATGATCATCAATATGAAAGTAAATCGTCTAATAATAATTAACTATTCGATCAACATTGTTATTCTAATTTATTGTATAATTATATCTATTGTACAGTACTAATTTGTGTCAACTCACGTTTGTAATGAGAATATGTCGACAAGCCTCTATTAGAACTTTTATCTGACCGAGTTGGCAAGACTTGCGAATATCACTTCCGCGTAGAGAAAGACACCTGAGGTTACTATTTATAATTTCGTTCTACACAAATACATACACTAATTCACCAATGCTGTGACTCGATAGCACGACTGACTACGAGAGGAACTGTATCGTGCATTCAAAAGGTTCGTTACAAATTTTGACCCCTAAAATTTCCTACGAATAATTTTCATATATTTACATAGGTACGAATTACTTTACATAAACTAAAGTATCAAATCATGAGTATGAAGATTACAATAGAGTATTCTATCACGAATATAATACCGACACTACCGCCCATTACCATAGACCCTTGAGCAATACAAATGCATACAAAAAATATCATCTCTTCCGCTACCTCTAGGCTTTAAGCAGTGTGATATGATTATTGGGATCACAATATCCGTGACCGTACTTAACGCAAAAGCTTAATTCAATAGCTTTAAACGGAACGTATGTGATATTGGCAGTATATTTGGTGAGATCTTGAATGATGGTGGCAAAGCAGTTGCCTGTTTTTTAAGAGAAATGTTCAATAGTGCTGGATTGATGTGGAAGGTGAATAGGAAAGGAGCATGCAGTTAGCTGTGCTAGGTATTAGATTTCAACGCCAATTTGAATTTTAGGTATAACGATATTCTGCAAGATGTGACTTAAATGGCTTATACGATAGTGTAGGATGGCGCAAAGGAAGGTGTTTTGGTTAGGCCATGCAGTTAATATTTACAAATGTTAAACCTACCACTACGTATGAAATTACGGTCCATTACCACAGACTGTGAGAGGAAGGTGCATAGGAGAGGCTGCATGCAGTTAAATACTAAACATGAGTTAGCCAGTCCGTGGAAAGTAGATTTAGATGCTATAATTATGACTGCATTCACCACCTCAAACATTAGTAATTTTACTCGTTAATCTTACCACTCTACATTTGGATACGATGTTGTTGGATAATTATACAACCTACGTAATTTTCGCTATGATTTTTTTACATTGTTAGTTAACACACTATATACCAATTAGATTATGTATAAAACGCGTATCATATGGATAAATTTAGACATCAATTTAATATTGAATTTATTTTAACATCGAATTTTCATATTTAGGTGCCTTTCTCTCAGCTTAACCGAATTTCGATTATAAGGAGTTTGCTTATGAATATGAGATTTTGTCCTTACAGTAAAAAGTAAATAAATATTTTTATCACATCCAATTGTAGGATATTTACTGTAATCATTGAATACTAGTGCATTTAATATGACAGCAAATATTGCTACAACTTGTGTTCCTTAACATTAATTTATGTACAGTAGAAGACAATTTCATGCCTTAACGTAAGACTAGATTTTGCTAAAGAATTAGAAATGTGAGAATTTAATCTTAGTGATGTTATAGATTCATTACGGATGTGGGAAATTGTATTAATCGTTGATATAGGTAACATCAAAACTTTTTACACGACAATGTAGACAGGATTCGAAAATGGACTCGCTAATTTAAAAAAAATCACCTTACAGTATTTACAGCGTATCTAAACAGCGGAGCTCTCACAATCACGTTCACTTAGGTAACGCTCGCATTCATAAGCTAAAATATCTATAGATCTCTTCCAAAATTATTGCACAAAGAACTCCGCGTCCACAATGTTCTTTTCCGACTCAATGTCTTTGTTTGAGCCTTAGCGGCCGCCACTGTGGCTGCCAGTTATGCTATGGCTGCAAATATCAGAAGTCCTCCAACAACACGGCGTCGCGAGGAACCAGGCCCTTCTGCTCCCCTCGGCAGCAAAGCAAGTGTTGGTCGTCCACTTCCAAGATAACACGTAGACGTTCGCCCTCGTTAAAAGCGAGGTGACCGGAGTCTGAAGGCAATCGATGCCATAGAGTTCGCACGTATCTGTCACAAAATAAGTTTAGAGTTCGCACGTATCTGTCACAATATAAGTTTGAAGGATGTTGGAAGAAATACACATTCGAAAAGCTGATATTACCAACTTTACATAATATTTTCAGAATATGTCATATTAGCACTTCAGGGAAGAAAAGATGGAAAAGTCAAAGTACAAAGTTCGCAAAGCGAGTGAAAAGGATAATTATAAATAAATGTATTGTTTCATATCCATTTTAGTTCTTATAGCTTTTTTACATAAAAAAATATTTTTGACGAAAAATATTTCTTTGACTAAACAGGTGGAAAGAGCTTGAAAGTTTAACCCAACTAATTCATTATTCATGATAATGATTTGGACATAGTTATGCAAACTAGAACCAACCCACAAAATGTCACTTTCGAGATATTTTGACTTTTGTAAAAACAATGTGAAGAAATAAATAGGTAAGTTATTTGAGACAAAAAACGTTAGTTATGTGTAGCATTAAGAATGATATAAGAAAACTATTGTATTATATAGCAATAAATAGAAAACATTATGTATCTTTTTATTTAGTTATCGAGAATCATGTTCTATTTTTTGTAATGAACATGCTAAAGATCTAAAGATCTACAGTACGTCAGTAATGTGACATGGATCCATTTAGCATATTAAAAAAAAATAGTATATACGAAATCTATATACGAGTCGTTGAAAGACCAAGTACAAAGACACGACGCAAGCACATAGAAAAATTCGTGAGGTCCGTTGGTTCGTTCCGTGGCTTAGTTGGTATAGCGTCTGGCACGGTATGCAAGAAGACGTCGGTTCGAATCCGACCGGATCGAAGGAATTTTTTCTGAGTGTTTTTTCTGAGTTTTCGATCTTTGTATTGATAATTATAACAAACCAGTGGAGTAATTTCACAAAAAATAATTGAATATCAATTCAATAAAAATTTAATTAATACTATATACGAAGTTAAACAGCATGGTTCTTTTTAGCTATTGAAAAGTTACTTATTTAGGGTTGGTACCCTGAAGGACTTTTATTTTCTCCGTTTTGGCTTGGTATATTGCCAGGATCTTTTGTGAGCGGGTAAAGGACACGTCTGGTGTTCTACCTAAATACATAACTCAATTTCACTCGAGGTGTGGGTTGGTTCTTGTTTGCATTACTATGTCCAATTGATGAGTGAATGAATGAATGAATTTTTAAGAAAATGGCTTTTAGCCTTTTCGTCCCCGAAGTGTCAATATGCAAACACACATAAAAAATCATATGTTATGGCTTTATTAAGCGACACGTCTGTCCATAACAGATACAGTATTCTCAGAGCTTTAAGTAAGAAAGATCTGAGGGACACTGCCACTGCGCCCGTGCCTGTAATTTCACCAGCGAGCGCCCTTCAAAACCGAAACGCAGTAATGTTCACATTATTGCTTGGCGGCAGAAATAGGTAAGGTGGCAGTATTTCGCTGAACGAACTTTTTCACAAGGAGCGTTACTGCTACTAAAATATCGCAATAGGTCATTTATACTGTTGCGTGACTACAGATTTTACTGTTCAGTGTTCGTCATAATAATATACATATCTTCTAATCCTGTACTCTATAGCTACTATGCCGATTTACAGATAAGTCGTAGACGATAAGTCTGTCTGTCATAATTAATTTACGTTCAACAGTAAATTATTGTCTAAAGGTTAATATAGATATTAAAATACCTACAAATGAGTTTCTGTCAAGTATATCTACTTGACGGAAATTCATTTGTATGTCGTTTGCCTGATGTTGGGGCCGCACTTGCGTACCTAATCATCACGAAGCAATTCGTGCCGAAGTTTCATGTTTTGTTCGCTGAAAAGTTATCGAGTCAATGCGGTGGTCACTTTAGCAGCTTTGTATTGACTATGGACGACGACTTTTTTTCTTCTACATGTGTGCTAACAATTATGGTATTTATAGTGAACATTCTTTGGATCCCATACAATTCTCATTCATCTTGAAAGTTGTTTAAAAACTCCCAACACCAATTCGTCGCTCCACTCCATTATTTAGATAGAACGTACAATCAAAACGTCCAATCGATTGATCGAAAAGTACAAGGCTAACCCGACCCCGCAGCACGATATTTAACGCGCTATAGTAAAACCCTTTGATGTACCACAACCTAAGCGATAACTTGTACGCAGCCCGAACATTCGCGACGATAGCCGATAATAGATGGTTACACCTGCGTTTATCGTATCATTGCGCGAAGCTGCGTGACGATAGACGCAAGTGTGGCCCTAGCATCACTGTCCCGGCTATTCGAATGGAATACCTTTTCTTCCATGATATACTAAAGATACCAGAAATTCAGCAGGCAAGGTAAATAACAGGAACATAGCTCACTTGTGTTTCTGCTGGCTAGAGGCATGGTGCGGTCTAGAAGCCGAAGAGGAAGCGGCACGGCGGGGTGCGGCTGGTGGGACTGAACGCCCGTACGGCAGAGATGACGGCCGAGGAGTGGCACCGCCTCCGTGAGGCTGGTCCACGCGAGAAGTCCTGTACAAACGGTAATATTTGACGAATGATACTTTAAACTTATTTTAATTATACGTATAATAAAAAGGGTTGAAATTGAGTGACAAAAGGAAAAAAAATCAGGTATTAAGAGTACATAATTGAAATGATTGAAAGGTAAATCAATATTTCAATTTTGTGATTAAAATAATGAGGAATTGACACCACAATACATCTCTTTTTTAACCGACTTCAAAAAAGGAGGAGATTCTCAATTCGACCGTATTTTTTTGTATGTGTGCTACGTGATAACTCCGGCCGGTTTGTAAACCAATTCTTTTTTGTCAGAAAGGGGGTTTGGTCCTATTTAAATTTCAAGAAAATATTCCACCTCTAAGGGTGGCAGACTAGGGAATAAATCCGGTTTCACGCATTTTCCGGTAACCGAGTTCAATAAAACTTGGCAAATAGATATAATTCCACGAACTTTTGAGGTCGGTTTTTAGACTCTGTGTTGAGATTATTGGGTATTTTGATTGATTAGTTAATCCCTTGCAAGATGTAAATAAAAAATACGATTTTAAGCTTACGACAAGACCTCATCAAAGGTTACCGCACTGCAGTACCAAATAACCTTCCCTGTCATATTTCAAAGATTTCTATTTGAAACATGCAACATTACCTATGCAAACTGCACTGTTTGATTTTTTAATAAAAAACAATTTTCTTAATAAATCAATCGGATTTCTTATAACATCGCCTTAACATGCAATGTCGAATGGGTTTTTAGCATATTTTGAATAATAGTCTTAGTTGCAATAACCTAGGAGTAATATTTTCGTGTTTAACAACATTTTTCCTGGTAAGAAAAGATCGCTAAACATGCGGTTAGGCATTATGAGAATTAGTAAGGAAAATTCCAAATACCAAATAGCAGTTAGTTTGGTTATATTTCCCTGTAAAAGTACATACGGTGCTTTAGCATTGGTGGTCTTAACATCATTTGTTCTGGTCTTAATTGGGCTTTGGACCGGTTTGATCACGACGGGTTTCTTCGATGTCGTCACAGGTTGTCTGAAGATTTTGTGCATATTTATTTAAAGCATAGAAAACCACTGTTCCCAGGAAATTTCAACATTTCTACATATTATTACAGATGTAAAAAAAGATAATAATGAAACAGAAGAAGGAAAATAAAGAGCTATCACCAGTTGATGGCAGTTGAATACAATATCGCCATTATATAACTATACTATTGTTTAATTATACTAAATGTTTCTAACAGGTACTGTTTAATAACCCATGTAACTACTATGCTAAATAAGCTTGCAAGTTTTGAAAATTGAGATTAACCCTAGTAGGTACCGAAGAAGTAAGTTTTTGATAAGGAACGCGAACGTAAAAAAGCTAAGTCGTTTGTTCCAAAGATAGTTAGATTGTACAACAAGTGCATAAAACGCGTCAATTTACCCGAGACGAGTATATCCAGCCGAGCCGAAGGCGAGTGTGGATACTTCAGTCGAGGGTAAAATGGGTTTCATGAACGATTTATACACTCTGCTGCGATTGCGAGGTAATTAAACAGCAATATTACAAATAAACGATTATTTAACTTAAAATTGAATGTAAAATTACAACATTTATTTTATGCATTCTACACCCAGCATAAATACGAACTTTAAGAGCGTGAGAAGTGATAACGTTTTTTAGTGGTGATGGAACGAACAAGTGAGTCTTGTGGTAAGTGACACGCCTGGCCATAGCAGTTGCAGTGTCACTCAAGAGCTTAAACTCTTAAATAGTCAGTGTTTAAATTGCAAAGTTTGAGCCACTACCCAAACATGTCAGGGTGACGTCACCTTGAGACATAAGTTGACAAGTCCCATGTGCCTGTAATTTCACTAGCACTAAATAGGTAAGATGGCAGTACTTCCCTGAACGAACTTTTTTTTATAATAAGTGACGGGACGAACAAATCGTGTGCCTGATGGTAAGCTAGAAGTCTGTTCATGGCAGTTGTAGTGCCACACAGAGCTTTAAATCCAAAAGATCTGAGGGGCACTACCACTGCGCCCGACGCCCTGAGACATAAGTTCATAAGTCCCATGTGCCTGTAATTTCAATAGCAGCCTTACCCTTCAAAACTGAAACGCAGTAATGCTCACATTACTTGGCGAAGAAATAGGTAAGATGGCAGTACTTCCCTGAACGAACTCTTTCGCAAGGAGCTTTACTGTTACTTAAACTTAAGATGAAGAGAAAAATCCCCCTTGTCTCCAATGACTATGACCGTGTCGTACCTGTTAGCCGCTTGCGGTGGCCTCTTGCTCGCTGCGCTTCTTGTGGTAGTGATTGTGCGGGGCTGACCCGATGTGGGAGAACTGCCTTTGCGCACTGGCACGGGAATTCCGCTGTGGACCCACAATATTACATCAATTAACAGTACAGTGCTGGTTGACATCATCTAGTATTTCAGACCTAAGAGCCATTTTGTCACATATCCCAGGTAGGCTACAAAATGTATATCTACACGGAACTGAAATATTCTACTTATTAATAATAATCTTAGTCTATAAGGTATGTACTTATGGGTCTATGTAACCTGGTTATAAATGAATAAATAAAATAAACAGAATCTTTTCCGCCAAGAAGTTAACGCAAAATGTATTGCGATTTTGAATAATATGTTATTTCCTACGAAAATCGAATTATTATTAGCTACGTGTATGTAGTTTGTGGAGATTATTTTTACTCTAACTACGAATACTACTTTTTCTCTAAGACGACAATACATCTTAATCGATTGTACAATTTCAATTTGCTATATAAGGTATAAATACATAGAAAGTAAATGTTGGATTCGTCGTTAGTGTATTTCATGTAGTGATTCACCAAAAATGTCGGGTTTACCACCAATCAATTAATAAGAACTTCATTTTTCCTTCTGTAATTCCCAACAAACCGTCCCTCAACATTCATTCAAATTGTATAGCAAACAAGAGACTTCAAGTACAGAAGTTCACTCACCGATGCGTGTTTTTGGCTGGCGACTGCAATGTGGGCGCTTGAGGCCGAACAGGCGACGACACTGGCCTTGGGATTTTTGAACCTCGTGCGGTGGCCGGCGAAGTCTCTCCTGGGAACATCCGTGGCGGTTATTTACACAGTTGCGAATTTTGTTATTTGTTTATGCAGATGGGAAGATGAGCGATGGAGTGGCATTTGCTTTTACAGTTCAGACATGTTATAAGTGGAAGTATATTTAAAGCAATGCTTTAAAAAGCATCAATGTTAGGACTTTCAGTCTCGCTACATATCAGCGTCCCGTGAAAAAACAAAGACTCGGCGCGGTCTCGAAAATCCCGGGGAAAACGAGCTTACGAGACTGTTTCAAAATAGGTTCCATACTTATAGGCTGCGCATTTAGACAGACAAAGCCACGACAAAACATGATATTTGAATTAAGTGCTTTATTAACTCAAATTATAAAATGAACAAATTATTTATGGATCTTATTTTTTCATTTTTATAGTGGATACGTAAGAAACAAATGCCGTTTAAGTTTATTTTCAGATGGAGTGGACCTTATTTTGAAACGACTTCAAAAAAGGAGTTAGATGGAAAGATCCTCAATTTGAAACGACTTCAAAAAAAGGAGGACTTTCTCAATTCGACGTTATTTCTTTTTGTATAGATGTTACGCGATATCCTTTATTATAGATATAGTACCTCAGTATTGGTCCCATTTAAATTTGAAGAAAATACTCTACCTCTAAGGGCGGCACACTACGGAATGAATCCGGTTTTGCGCACTTTCCGGTAACCGATTTCAATAAAACCTCGCAAATCGATGTAATTCCACGAACTTTTGTGGTCGCTTTTTTTAGTACTGTGTACTGAGATTATGTTTACTACCTTTCTTCAATCGCCGCAGATTATACCATAAGCTCCATTCTACAGTATTGCCGTCTCCAAGTAACCAGAATAAAAAAGTACTATTTGTTTAGTAGATTTGAAAACTTTTGAATTAAGTGAACTAAGTCTGAAAAATCTCGATATTTTCGAGATTGAAAACATGTCTAGTCTCGAAAATGCCAAATAATTGTCGATACTATTTTCGAAATCGACATTCCCGGGATGAAAGCCCTAATATACGGATTAAAAGCAGTGTGAATATAATTCTGATAACTGAATCGTATTGACCGAATTCTTATGTTTGACTGACTGGCGTGAGACATGTAAAGCGTTCAAAACTTTGGCTTCTTGTTAAAATAACATTTTAAAAAAATGTCATTCCCAGAATAGTATTGATTTCTTGAAACCTAACTAAAAGTAAACTTTATCTTTAATCGGCGATGTTAGATTGATCTGATGTAGAAGACGAGTCTTACCTGATGGCGTGGCTCCTGGGCTTTCAGCATTGCTGAGGAGCTCCCACTTGAGCTGCAAGCGCCGGAATTTTCCACCCGATTGATTGCTATTCCCGGTTTGGTTACTGGCACAGCTGCCCGCTGAACCTGGTCGCCAATCCTCACCGCTGCAATCCAGCTACGGAGAAACAGAAGATTGAAATGATACAGACTGCGCATATCATTGCTTAATTGTATTTGTTAAATTTAATATCGTCGTTAAAACTTCTAGTACGTCATATTTTAACTATTTTATAAAAGAAACAAGAATATTTGTGTATCTACTTTTCTTTTTTTTTGTCTAGAATAATTTACAGGAACTGCATTCAGTAGAATCGATAACTCTAAGTCAACGAGTTCTAGATAATTGTTGTACTATATAAATATGGGTTAATTCTACACCAAGAAAGAAATGAAAAGCAAACAAAATTCGTGCATACACAACCCTATGCGATGCAATCCCAAAACAAGACAAAATAAGAAAAAAACAAATAAACCATCCAAACAAATCAACGTTGCAAAAGCCAGTAGCACTTGCTGATGGCGAAATGAAAACAATCTGTAAAATAAAACAACGAAACCAAAAATTCATAGACTACGAAATAAAGCACATCCAAGTATCACACAAAGCCCTGCCCGTCAGTTACCTTCGCCTCGTTGCTCGTTTTATTCGAAGGTTTGTTATTCTCCAGGCTATCAGTGTAGTCGTCGCTGTCGTCAAACACAAGCCGATCGAACGCCTGCATCAATTTCGAGCCCAACTGTACCCCAGACCACCGGCGATTATTCTCCAATTCGATTCGGCTGTTGTTCGGACAAAGATCGTACCCAATAGCTGATGGATTGACACACGATCTTGGCCTATTCTTTTCTATAGTAGTTTTCACGTTAGCCGAATCGTTTAACAAGTCAGGTGTCGACGGCTCTTTGTTTTTGGGTTCTTTTTGTCTCATAATAACGCTGGTTTGGCAGTCGTCGCTGGAGGGCCCGCTGGATTGCATCGATCGCACCAGCTTCAGCAAATTGCGTTGGTTCAGTGTTAGTGGCGGAGTGTTAATCGAAGTTGGCTGTTAAATACACCAAATTTTCTTTTAGGTTCATGCATCATGCTATCCGTTGTTAGTGGAAAACTTCACCCTTGATAAATAAACATTGTCGGCCGACATCGATCTTCAGCCATACCTTTATTTGCATTTTATGGAAGCTGTGCACGACAATCAATGCTAAAATTGTCCCTTTATACAAGTATGCCGTGAATAGTGATTCGAAAGCACATGCAATAAACAATAAAATGCAAATAAAGCGATGTCTGCTTGGCATGGCGCGGCATTTTAATACATGTTATTTATTTCGTAAAATGTGTTGCACAGTAGTTTGTTGGATTGCAGATAGCTAGTACTCACCGATTGATATTTAAATCATAGACAACATTTGAGTACAGTTAGTTGGAAGATAAACACCTGTGTTAGGTAGGTGAAATATCTTGGTCATCTTACAAGTAGCTAAAACATATAGACTTACCCTACTGGCTGCACGCATATCACTTTCAATTTTCTTGAAACTCCTATGTAGCTCTCGCATCTCAAACATGAGGTCTAGTGAGAAGGGCAAGAGCTTCAGTGGCTCAAGACCGGCAAGCAACGTATCCAAGAGGGCTCTGCAGCGCGGCTCGCCGACACAACCCGCCAAGATTAGGGAGTCAGAGTCGTAATGTTTTGCAAGTATTGATTCTCTAGTTCGTACGTATGACACCCATGCGTCGACTGACTGCGCACTATAAACACAATTCATTATTTGCAATATCACGTCTCACAAGTCATTTGATGAAACGAAGGAGTGATAGGACACATACTTGAGTAATCCAAGAATAAAAGCGTTGAACTTAACCAGCCCTTCAGTGACGGCGTCCTCGCTGTTGATCCTTAGAACAAGCTCATTTAAAGATTTTGTTATCGGTCCTTGCCTGGCTGTAGCTTCAACCATTTGCCAAACGGAGTTGTTGACTGACCCGAATGAGGTCTCAATGTTTTCTTTGAGCCCGTCTCTGAATATCGCATACAAAGCTGGGCATAATGCGTTTAAGGCTATTTTGGCGCAAGCAGGGGACTGTTTAGAATCGCCAAGGTACGCCAATTCGACCTGATCCGTTGCGGAAGAAAAGTGCTGGATCAACATTTCCACAGCATCCGTTACGTTCGAGATCAAAGCTGAAAAATAATGAAATTAAGGAAAATTCGATCTTATATAACAATTACTTAAAATTTTTCTGCATGGCATGGCAAAATCATTTACCTCTTTTTTGTGACACATCAATCATATCGTATTTTCCTCTACCGTCGTGGGTGGGACTTCCGAATTCATCAGGACTCACTTCAGCTTCTTCACAAATTGGTATCTCAGCCAAATTCTTACCCTACAATCAGAAGTAGTTTTTATTGGCATATATATATTAGAAGGTGATCAAGTTAATTGTGATTAGTCTAAGCGACGTGAAATGGTTAGTAAAATTAATTGAAAAATGAAAAATATCAAGCGTATGATAATGCTTTGAAAAATAAATTTATTACCGAAATAATACAGAAAATAATGAAAAAAGTAAAAGAATTGAACCAAAGGTACTCACAGAACTCAACGAAAAATGACATGGACAAAGACTGCAACTGACAAACAATTTACCTGATAATGTCTCTGCGCTATCACAGCTGAAATATTAGGTGAATTGGGAGGAGTGTTGAGATTTGCAGCCTTCAAGTCTTCGACCAGTTTTAGAGTCTGTTGACCTTCGGCTTTAGTCTCTGATTTCTGTGCAAAGCTCACTGACTTTTTACTATTACAACTACTGCCACTGGAATCCGTAGACCTCTGGTTCTCCTCCTGGGATCTTTTCATTTGCAGAAATTTGCTAACCTGGCCTCTTACCTTTTGAACTTGATTTTGGTCCCAGTCGTCCATATTTTGGCAATTAAAGCCGCTTAGTTTCAAAAACTCTTCCAGTTGTTGTAAATCAGCACTGCTGATCAGTGCACCAGGTGGCGGAAATTCTGTGTACTCCAATTTCTTTGTTCTTGGTTTAGGTAACGGTGGCGTGTGGGGTCTGTGATATTTGAGCTCGTTGGATTTTCCTGATTCTAGGCTACTCTCTGTACCCACGCCTTCATCATGATAATACTCATTGTAATCAGCATCTTTCTCAGCAGCATCGAGGAACTGTTGCGATAGCCTCTTTGCAGCGATATCATTATTTTTCCTATAGTCAACGTTATGATTTTGCAAATAGTACGGTTCCTGCAAAGATCGTCTCTTGGTTTTGTGTTCAGTTGCAGCTGTAATGCAAACTATAGGATCTTGCAACAAGTCGTCCATTTCGAACATGCTGTAACGCTTCGAACTAGATTTGCGCGTTTTATCCATGGATTTACGCAAAATACTCTTTGGCAATGGCGGCCTAGGTGGTGCAAGTTCACCCTGCCTAGCGAATTTAGTTTGGTCTGCTAGCAACAACGATCGTTTCGGAACAGCAGGGTTGGTTTTATCATTGCCACAACTTGCTTCCGAACTTGTGGCGCTATCATAGCGGTAAACAAATAAGGGGTTGTAATTTCCAGCAGGAGCCGGGCTGTTTTGTGCTGACGAATCAGTTAGCATTGTTGAAGAACCACGGTAACCTGAGGAAGGTTGAGTAGCAGTGCTCGAGCTTGAAGACACAGCAGTAGCGTTGCCCAAGTTGTTGCAATCACAACTCATTGGGCGCTTTGACTTTGATGGTGTTGCATTACAATATTTGTCACTGCATCTAGACATATCTTTCTCTTTCACATGATGCATCAGTTCTGGTACTTCCGATAGAAGTTGTTTACATTCCATTGGCAGCAAGAAACTAAGTGAATCCCAGTCCTTGATATGACCGAGCCCTTTCTTCTTCAACATTTCTACATCATTGCATGAGAATGGTCGTTTACCTCTCATTTGCAATCTGCCTCTCTTACTTTCGCTTGATCTTGGTGAAACGTTTACTTTCACGGGATTTAGGTAAATATTGGGTCTTCCATTTAAGAAGCTGATATCGGGTAATGTATAGTTCGGGTACAAAACAAATACAGGTTTCTCACAGTCGCCTTCTTTCAGCTTTTCTAGGAATGAAGGCTCAACGACTTTGAATAAATTATTCTCCACCCTTGTAGACATTTGCATGCTCGATGTTTGTATACTTTTATCAGTAGTGACAGCCTCAAGGTGAGTAGAAGTAGATTTGTTATCGCAAGGCTCCCTTAGCAATAGCTTGTTCATTCTTGTGATTTGAGTTCCATCTGATTCTGAACAGCTCGAAATGCTTACACTTGTTGCAGAAGCCGAAGACTGCGACGAACATGATTTTCTGGTACTTCTCAGTTTAGCGGGACTATTGGTGACACTGACATTTGCTCTTTTAATAAGGGGTTTATTTACAGTTGCATAAATGTGATTTTCACTGTCGCTCAGTTTAGCTCCATCGACAGTTTCCTCCTCTTCTACTAAAACATCGTCGTATACTCTATTATACGGATTTTGTGTTGGTATTTCTTCATAGACGACAGTTGTAACTTCTTCCATTACTTTGTTAGGTAATTCTGCTTGCGATCGTTCCAGTTTTGAGTCTCTCCTGTCTTCAATGGACTCACCACTTTCGCCCCCTGAGCTGGAAGGCCAACATTCTGACCTGTCCATTTGATCCATGCTCATAATTCCATCATTGCTCATACTCTTTTGTTTCATGAATAACTTTACCAGATTGAACGGTTGTTTCGGTTGACTTTTATCTGACGAGGAGTGGTTTTCTGTTGACGACGTACTCATTGGTTCTGAATGTTGACTTCCTTGAGTTGAGCGGTGTTGTGATACATCGTACACCTTCATGCAAGTAGAAGTGCCAGTTAATCTCTGATTGACCGTAAACGAATCGACCTGAAAACAGATAGATGGTAAATAGTAAGGGCAATAAATGGACAGCGTAAGATGTTAAGAAGTAGGTTTAGACGTACCGTTGAATTACTTAGCGCCGCCGAATTGATGGAACTGCTCATAAGTTTCCTTCTGTATAGGTTTGGCAAACTTTGGCTTTTAATAACAGAATTACTCATCTCAGTTGTTGCATCAGTTGTTTCATTCGAGTCTCCATTGTTGTTTCCTGACGGGTGTCTGTAATGAAATTAATGACCAACGATTTCAGTTACTGACTTTAAAGTCTTGTAAAAAGTATTTATTTATTCTAAAGAATTTCTTACCTCCTTAACGGTGACTGACTTGTTTGTTTCTTAAGCTTACTCCACGTAGTTAATCCTAAATCACTTCTAACCATAGAGGTTGTTAACTTATTGGTTAATCTTTTACATCTTTCTAGTAATTCTAAATTCCTGCGCGTTCTCTCGTCGTTATCTAATACTACATTTTCTGCTTCCTTGCCCATTTTGTCTGAAATAGGATTTCAAGAGAATGAGTCGTTTGCTTATCACTTTTAATTAAACCGTAAATTGAGCTAAGGTCATCAAAAAACAAACGCTTATTCTGTCACTATCGCAAGATCAAATAGAGTACGAAATTTTTTTTTTATGTTAGGTATGCAGCTCGAATTTTTGTCTTACATTATATAATTTTGTCTACACGTATAAGTACCAAATAGACTTGAAAGTTCAATACAATTAATAGCGTTCTTTATCTAAATAGGCGCTTTATTAATAGCGATGTGGTCGTTGTCTTCATCATATATGTATGATGAATGTTTACGTATGCGTAACACAACCAAACAAGTATGACATATGAAAATTACACAGATAGCGCTCTATTTATTCAACTTTATTTCATCTTCTGCTTTACCTACAAAATGCTGCGTAAACATCACAGTATCACAAATCTTTTCTATTTGTACTTTGCTAATTTAGTGTTTCCTTACAGTACAAATGTTTGTTGCAATATAATATAAACCTATCGTCGGCTAAATTCGTAAACTTCTACCTCCATTAAAGTGAACTTTTGAGAGAAATTATATAGAAATATTTTACATGACAATCTATTATTATACCTTTATTTTATACAAATAAAGTTATGATCATATACCTTGTCTAGAAATTGTATTTTAAACTTTAATTGCTCGATATTGTGCATAAAGAGTAAAAAGGGGTCAGTGTCCAAAAACGGAGTAACAAAGTTTTTAAATTTAGCCGATGCTATATTGAAATCCTTACCATGTTTGTGATTGACGGCTAATTCAAAACATTCACTGTCCTCTGAGTAGGTGGTGAGACTGCCCTCAAAGGCGATAGTGTAATTGTTCTTATTGGCCTGACAGGTGAGGATGAGATCCTGCTCCGTGGGTAACTCGCAATCCAGACTGTCCACGCTGAAGTGGACTCCGTGCATGGCTTCCTTCACGGGGGAAAACAGCAGCTCCGACTTACATATCGACATGGTATTGTTAGAACCGACGGATTCGTGTCCCTGGAGAAAAATGCTTTTGTGAATTTTATGTTAAAACAGTTTTAAAATAAAACAATTCTGATATTTTTAAAATTGTAAGCTATAAATGTAGTTGACTAAGGAAATCTAAATATTCAAAATAATGTAAGGAAGTTTTTATTAAAAGGTACGTTCATTTATTCTGAAAAATAACCTTACAGCCAAAAATATACCACTAATCGTTATTAATGGGATATTTTTTGGCTACTAACTAAAATTTACTTTCTGAGAATTGATACCGGGAAATTCCGCACAAACAAGTGGACCTAAAATAAAATGATGACTAGCAAAACGTAAACATTGTTAAAGTATAGGTAGGTAATATGTACATTGTATTTACATCATGATAATATGAAACTAAATAAATCCTTACTAAGAAAATTGAGAATGTATATCTTACAAGTGCTGTAACCCTACTAAATTCGTGTATCATGTCATTTGAACCCTCTTAACTTCATAGTCACGTACATACGTATAGAACGAATTTGTATGGCTTAATACAGTGAACGCGCGGACTCGTCTATTACAAGTAGTAAGGTACTTAGGAGAAGTCGACGTACGTTCCCAAAATGGTTTTCCAGTGATTTCGTAACGTAAACGAGCGGAGAACATAAACATTTATGCTAGTATAATTCGGGATGCGGATGTATGGCGTTTCTAATTCTAACTAGTCCAATATGCAGCTTTTACTTGCACATGATACAACTATGTTAATTATGAGCCTGATATTTTCGAACATACTTCCGTAAGAAATAGGTTTTGTTGAAAAAGTTAAATGATTTAAAAATTAATTTGATTAGTTTTGTTTTAAATATTATTTAAACTGTTAAATGACGATCATGATCATTAATTAAGTTAATGTATACCTATATATATGATGTGGTTATCAAACTCTCACTATACACAATGAGGTTTTTATGTAATATAATGTTTCTACTACACGTGGGCAAATCATACTGCGTGACCATCGGACTTGGTCCCCAATTCTGCTAATTTTAAATCATCTTAGTTGTGTGTCGATAATCCAGAAATCAATGGCAGTATCTTGTAGATTTGGGATTCTGTAAAGTGTAGTGTAGCCATTGCATTTGTTTAACCGACTTCAAAAAAAGGAGGAGGTGCTCAATTCGACGGTTATGTTTTTTTTCTTTTTATTTGTATGTATGTTACGCGATAACTCGATTTATGAACCGATTTTGGTGATTCTTTTTTGTTGGAATGAGGGTGCCTCTATAGTGGTCCCATTTCAATTTGAAGAAAATATTGCACCTCTAAGGGTGGCAAACTTGGGATGTATGATTTTGGAGGTCGGTTTTTTATTGGTATCCGGCTCTTCAATGGCGGTGACGTAGTCTACTAATTAAGTGACGTAACAAAACTACATTTCATTTGAAAACTGAAATGTTGATTAAACGAGATAAAAATTAAGATATGCATAGTAATTTCCATAATGTAACATTGTCGTTAGTGATTGAATTAATGAGTACCATTGCTGCCGATTCTACTGAAACTCCGTTGGGACTCAACTGCCATTGGAACTAAATTTTAGCAACACAACATAACAATAAAAAAGTTATAATTATTAATACAAAAATCGAACACTCAGAAAAACACTCAGAAAAAATTCCTACGAACCGGTCGGATTCGAACCGACGTCTTCTCGCATATTCTGGCACGGTATGCAAGAAGACGTCGGTTCGAATCCGACCGGTTCGAAGG